CAATAACCACTATGGGGTATACATTACTAAAAGTCTCCAACTGACTGATGGAAAAACGGGAATGTAGATGGGCTAAGAATCTTACCCAAGATCACAAAGCAGGTAACAGAGCCCAGATGCAAAACCAGGTCCAGCCTGACAAACACTACATTAGGGTGCTTATCAAAAACAGCTGCTAAACTGGCCAAAGGCGGCGGCTCATGCCTGTAATCCCAGCACTTTGGGAGGCTGAGGCTGGTAGACCACCTGAGGTCAGGAGCTCCAGACCTGCCTAGACAACATGGTGAAACCCCCAACTTCAGTAAAATAGTGTCTCTTCCATGTCAATGACAGCCCAGCATGATAAAACTTCAGATACCAATATTAGAGTCCCTCTATATTCAACACTATCTGCCAGCCTTGTTCAGGGGACACAATCGGAAATCCCTAATCAGCAGGGCCATAGCTTGTCACTTCCCTACCAGAAAGGAAGGCAGGTTACTATAATCCAGACACACTGGGGCCTCAGCTCTCTGGAGAACTTGGCCCCTGGCTGCAATCCTATGGCTCTGTGTCATATACAGAAATTAGGGCCTCTGCCCATCAACCAGAAATGGTGATGGTGCTAAAGGAGGTTCAGCCCACAAATGGTCTACCAACAGTCTCCACTTCTGGGATGTATTACTCTGTGTCTGCTCAACACATCACAGAAAACAGTTTTCAAGGTGAGTACAATCAGCGAGAAAGGAGAACAATAAATAGAGCACTGAAAGTGAGGGTCAAATCTATAGCTCAGTGGTAAGTCCACAGATAGGTAGAATTTAAGTTGTGAGACTTCAACCACTATTCTTGGGCATTGCTCTCCATTTTCAGAGTCTATCTAAGAACACCATCTTAGTGGGAAAGTGGAAGACTGTAGTGGCCATATATGCCACATTTAAGAGAGTCCCAAGAGATATCACACTTTTTAGTGTGCTGGCTGATCAGTTCTCCTGCACCAGATGCTGTAACTTCCTTCCTTAATCTATTACTTTAGTCTCCTTGGAAGGCACTTCAGAAGTCTTATCTTGGCAGTGACCTTCTGATTTTCCTTGACTTACAGTAGGATTTAAGACCTTTTGCTCAGAGATTCTCTCCAAAACAAACAGGCTCAGAGTCTCTGCTTGCTTATGCATTTCATGACGAAGAGCTCCCCTCTCTCCCCTAGTCCATGGTGTAAAGGGTGACCCTATATGAGAATGTGAGGCTTTATAAAACATCTCCTATTTCAAAATCACTTTCACTTTTCATTTGGCTTACAACAACCCTATGAAATTCAAAGAAAGCCAAGAAACAATCATAATCATACCAAATGACCACCAGTAAGAGAAAAGTCACTGCCTATCCCCGAATACAGGGTCTTGTCCATGGTACAGAAGAAGAGCTAGTAGAAATGCCTTACCCACGTTAGTTAGAAAGGTAAATGACTGCTGCATTGTGGTGTAGGGGGAGCATCTCACTTACCAGATATTGACTTCTTCCTTGATTCCTTTGTAATGACGGAAACTTCCCTGGGGATGGATGCTTCCCAGGGATTGTAATCTCCAAGGCAGACATTTAGACTAGCATATATTCCAGAAATCTCCAAGTCCTGTAGGACTTGATATACCCAGATACTTGAGAGTAATCCATCACCTGAGCTTGGGGACATTTCAACGATAGCTCCGGTCCAGAATCCAACTAGTGTCTTGAGAAAAGACATTGGTGTCTACAGCTCCAAGCCAAAACAAAACTGAGAACAAGGATTTGGACGAGATTAAAACCAAGGTTTCAAAGCCTCTAGATGCCTACCAGTTCCCAACAGAAAACCGAGATACTCCACTGCTTCCTGTAGAAATCGCTGATATTCACCAGCTTCTGTCCTGCATCCATCCTCTTGGCCAAGAGGAGCAGCCTGGTTCTGAAAATGCCAATCTGAGAAAGAACAGCCTGAGTCTTGAGGGCAAAGGGATACCTGAAGATGGGATTGAGTCTACCAGTGATCTTGCAGACATCACTACATTGGTGGAGGATACTCACCTCCCCTCCATCTTCAGTTCCTTACAAGATCTTGACCAACCCCAAAGTCCCTACATCTTCAGTTCCTTACAAGATCTTGACCAACCCCAAAGTCCCTCCGCAAAGAAAGCCAAAGATCCCAGTGCCATCAAGGCAAATCAGGTGCAGGAAAAGTCACGTGTCATAAAGGGCCACTGATGAAGTCAGGAAGAACAAGCATAAAGCTGCCAAGCCTATCCAGGGTGCGCCCAAGGCCAAAATCCAGCCAAAGAAGCCAGAGAGCCTATTAGAGGGAGAAGTGGCTGTTTGTGGTGCTACCACCAGTGACAGTGTTTCTGTGAGCAAGGGCAAGCATTCTAGCAACGAACCTCACAAGGCCGTATCCAGCTGGAGCAGCACAACTAAGAGGCTTCGGCAGGAGAAGACCAAAAGGAGCAGAGACAACAGCTCCAAGAAATCTGAAGACAGGGAGCAGTCAGGGACCAAAGTGAAGGTAGAAGAGAAGCAAACTATTCCCAACAGGAAGCAGAAGAAAAATCAACCTGAGCTTAGCCAAGAGACCTTTAAAAAGCCACGAAGCTCCCTAAACATGCACATGCTGGAGTCTATGGAAGTTTTCCATGCACTGGGGTAAAAGACTGACAAGAAAAGTGGATTCTCTTCTTCCCGGACTCTGGGAAGCTCAACCAACGCCCAGAGCCCCCGGCCATTCTTAGGTCTCCAACCATGCCTGGATACCTGGCGTGAGGGGAAAGGCCCGGAGAAAACAGAACTCAAGGATCAGGAACTGGATGATAGTGCTGAAAAACAGGGTCCATCTACATTCCAGTATGAGTTGCCACCACCTGGGAGGGTCAAGTTGCTACCATTGCCCTTTCTAACCCTGGACAAACCTCAAGCTCAACCTGTTTCTCGGCGGCCACACTCTCTGGCCTCATGCAGGCCTGCTGTGGCTTGCCCTGCTTGACCTGCTTCTACTAACTCAGCTCAGTCGACTGCGGACAGTCCGTCACCACCGGCTCCTACCAACACATCTTTGACAGGTCCTGTCAGACCAGCTCATCCAATTTCGACCAATGAAACCAAACCCACTTCAGTCAACCCTAACCAGCCTCCTACTGCCTCTCAGTCTGCTGCTTCTAGGCCAGCACCCTACAAAACATCATCTTGCTCTTCTCTCCAGCGGGAGCCCGTTTCCAGTGCTGTGACCAATCTCCAGTCACTGCCCAAGCCTCCAAATCAATTTCTAATCCAAGACTTCAGCTTACAACCCAGGCCGTGGAAGACACCCGACTTTTCTGGGCCAGGAGTGTCAACGCCCATCACAAAAGAGCAGAGGCCAGAACGTGAGGCCGTGAAGAGGAAGGCTCAGCAAGAGCGTGAGAATGCTGCCAAATACACCTCTTTGGGAAAACTGCAGTTCTTCATCTAAGAGGAAAAAGATATGGAAATTTCTCAATACTACGGCTACAGAATCTAAGAGCTGCTGAGACTGTTGGCTTTACTTTGGATACCAGCTGGTTTTCCAAATATATAGATACCAATTTATTTATTCTGATCATATATTTTTCAAACCGAATAAAGAAATCTAATACAATTAATAGATGAGTAATAAAGAGGCTTTCGAGCTTTGAGATGCTGTTGACTGTGGGTTTCTTGGGTGGGGTGGGGATCACAGGCTGCTATAGAAGGAATTAGGGCTGGGAGTGGTGGCTCGTGTCTGTAATCCCAGCACTTTGGGAGGCCAAGGTGGGTGGATCACCTGAGGTCAGGAGTTGGAGACCAGCCTGGCAAACATGGTAAAACCCATCTATACTAAAAATACCAAAAAGTAGCTTGGTATGGTGGTGGGTTCCTGTAATCCCAGCTACTGGGGAGGCTGAGGCATGAGAGTTGCTTGAACCCGGGAGGCATAGTTTGCAGTGAGCCAAGATCACACCACTGCACTCCAGCCTGAACAACAGAGCGCAACTCCATCTCAAAAAAACAAAAAAACAAGGAACTAAAACTTGGATGAGAGAATATACAGCAGAATTGAGGAAAGAGGAAGGAACGTGGTCCAGGACTAAGAAGGTCAAAAGGGGAGATATTTCATGGGCTTATACAAAGAATCAGAAATGGGGGAAATGGCAGAAGTAAGATGCAGAACCTGAGGTTAGGACTGAAAGAATAAAATTTGGATAGAAGTTGACGATGGCAGAAGATAAGGTTGGGTGGACCAGAGAAATGTATAAAATCTCCCATGGATGAGGGCCTGATGTCTCATGGTCTATCAGACGCGTGTTTTAGAAAGTAAGAGTCGGGACTCATCACCAACAGGTTTGGCTTACCTTATATATATAAAACTGCAGTACAAAACAGGGGAATCTACCACCAGGGGAATGGCAAGGGCTCACAGTTCTAGGTGCAGCTGATAACCTGGACCTATCTAGCCAAGTGAACTGCAGCAGCTTCAATCCGATCCAGAAAAGAACCTGGAGTATAGATTACCATTGACTCAACACCTGTGCACGGGCCACTGAGATGCACTGCTTCAGTTCACCTTCACAACCACACACAAGACCAGTAACACTGTTCCACCTTCCTAGTGAGGTTCAGCAATGGGCTTGGGTCACACTGCATGCAAGCGGGTAAGGCCTGTGGGTCTCCGAAGTCCTCAGCGTTTGTGAGGGCCTGCAGGCAGCCAAGCTGGCTTTCAGAACATGGCATCTAGAGGTTACAGGCAGACGAACTCAAGCTTCCGGAGGTATTTAAACATTGAGGCCCGCCAGGTTCTCCTCCTCCATCCATTCCAGCATATGCAACCTTCTCGGCCAACACCATTAACTGGACACGGGAAAAAACGGCTGGGAGCGTCCATTTTCACAGGATGTGGTGGGCGCGCATGCGCCCTGGGTCGCCCTCCAAAAGCTGCAAGACGCAGGCGCTCAAATGTGCCAAGACGCTCCTTACGGGGAGGGGACCCCGCCTCAAGGCACAGCGATAACCAGAAAGGGTTGGGGGCCGCAGGAGAAGGCAGGATAGGAATGGGTGGGGGAAGGGAAGATGACGCCAGTGGACGATCACCGTGAGAAAATCAGTACTTTAGTTTTTAAAAATTAGTTTGTGATATATAATTAACCTAATATAAAATTCACTGTTCAAAATCGTACGAATGGGCCGGGAGCGACCTGAAATCCCAGCAGTTTGGGAGTCTGAGTCAGGCGGATCACTTAAGCTCAAGAGTTGGAGGCCAGCCTGGCCAACGTGGTGAAACCCCGCCTTTTTTTTTTGAGACGGAGTTTCCCTCTTGTTACTCAGGCTGGAGTGCAATGGCGCGATCTCGGCTCACCGCAGCCTCCGCCTCCCGGGTTCAGGCAATTCTCCTGCCTCAGCCTCCTGAGTAGCTGGGCTTACAGGCACGTGCCACCATGCCCAGCCAATTGTTTGTATTTTAGTAGAGACGGGGTTTCACCATGTTGACCAGGATGGTCTCAATCTCTTGATATCGTGTTCCACCCGCCTCGGCCTCCCAAAGTGCTGGGATTAAAGGCGTGAGCCACCGCGCCGGGCCAAACCTCGCATTTACTAAAATAAAAAAGTAGCCGGGCATGGTGGCGGGCGCGTGTACTGATACTCAGGAGGCTGAGGCACGAGAATCGCTTCAACCCGCGAGGGGGAGGTTGCAGTGAGCCGAGATGGCGTCACCGCACTCCAGCCTGGGTAACAAAGCGAGACTCGGTCTCAATAAAAACCAGACAGAAAATTGTACAATTCAGGGGCATTTAGTAGTATGTCACAAGGTTGTACAATCATTACAACTATCTGAGCCATTACATTTTCATCATCCCGTGCAAAAACAAAAACAAAAACAAAAAAACCCTCTACCCATTAGCAGTCACTCCTCATTCCATCCTCCCTCTGGCCCCAGGCAACCAGACAGGGCCCCCTGACTCTAATCTAGAGGTGATACTTCCTCCAGGTGCCTCTCTTCTGTGAAATCCACAGGGATAAAGACAGGAACAAGGAGTACCACGGTGTTAGGATTAGCGGCACCAGGAACACCTGCTCTTTCCACACAGGTGGGTAACCTTATCAGACATGTCCAGTTTGTACAAGACAAACCTCCCTTCCTGGACTGACGGACTGAAGCCAAAAGGCCTGGGTCATGCAACAAGGGGAATGGGTAGTCTGGAGACTGCAGCAGTCAGTCTGGGACACTGCACTCAGGCCAGCCTCTATGGGACAGCTGAGGATGCAGGGAATACCCGAGGATGCAGGAAGTCTATCTAAGGTGTGGGGAACTAACCTGTCACTCTGCTTTTTCCACAGGATGTGAAAGTAGAGTCCTGGAAGCATAATGCCTTTGTTGGGCTCTCCCAAGCTGTGACCACCAAAGGAAAGTACTGGATCTGCCATCCCAGACCCCATTCTGTCACAGACTACAGCAACCTTCTCGTCCTACCAGTAGTAAACTCTACCAGTACTACAGCGGTGCAGTGAGTATCAACAGAGCCTCAGCCGTGGCTTACTGAATGAGGAGTTAGCAACTGCCACATGGGAGAGAGGGAGACTTAACTGGCTGAAGGTGGCAAAACATCATGACAACTAACAACCTCGGTGGGCTGGTAGTTTTGACCCATTATGTTCCTTTACTTGAATGAGAAGCATCCCAGTGTTGACAATGGAACAAGAATTGAACTACTGTTAGCTTTCTGTGTAGGGACTTCATGAACAATATTGAATAGAGGAAACCAACTTCATATAACTAATTTGAGACTTTGCTGGCAAAGGCTAATGACCTCACACCTGTGAGTGGGTTATTAAACAATAAAATGGGAGAAGGGGTGCTATGTGCACCTGAGGGCTACATTTTTCTCTGTGAGCAGTCCAGGGTGACCCAAATATGGTGTGGTCAGTGTTGTCCTTGAAAAGCTGATGAACGGTGGGATACTGCACGCTGGACGTGCTGGGGTGTCCCTAGATATCACCCTTGGAAATGAGTCACACCAGTGGGCCAACAGCCTGAAGTCATACACCAGGCTTACTAGACACTTGTCAGGAAGAGTAAGTGACCCTGGTTCATGTTCTATTTGAGATTTTTGGTACCACACATAGGAGTCAGTTCTCGGGAAAAAAACAGATAAAAAGTCTGTTCCTAAGCATGCCAGATACTGCTTCCTTTATTGCCACTTCCTTGGCAGCCCAGCAGACATCCCTCAACTCTCTTGAGAATTTTTTTTTTGAGACAGGTTTTATGCTGTTGCCCAGACTTCAGTGGCATGATCATAGCTTGCTGTAATCTCAAATTCCTGGGCTCAAGTGATCCTCCAACTGCAGACTCCTAAGTAGCTCTGACTATAGATGCACACCACCACACTTGGCTATTTTTCTTTATATTTAGGAGAGATGGCGGCGGGGCGGGGGGGGGGGGTCTCACTATTTTGCCCAGGCTGGTCTTGAACTCCTGGCCTCAAGCAATTCCCGAAGCACTGGGATTACAAGCATTAGCCACCACACCTGGCCAAGAGGATTCTATTAAACAAAGGAATTACTCTAGATTTCCATTTACCAAACTGGAAGAAGTGTGTTTGATTGCCAATAGCTGCTGCTACACCTAGAGAACACTTCATGTATTCTAGAAAAGTAGAGAAAGATCTGGAAGGAGGCCCACTCTCAGTAGATATTGGGGCCTCTTTAAGGACCCTTTTTTTGACCTCTTTAGCAACTTGTTACCTGGATCACTGGATCCAGGACTAGGCTGCTCCTCCAGGCAGACCTGACCAGCTATTTGTGGAGCAGTCCTCTGGGGCCTGGTAAGATGCATTCTGGCTATGGCTTAACAATGTTTCACTGACATTGCATCTGTCACAGTATTACCTCGCTCTGGTAAGACAAACCTCTGCCTCCAAATACTAAGAGGTTGTTGGGATATAAAATGGACTAGCTTTGCTGGGGGGCGGGATAATCTGAATTAAGGGCACAGTCTGCAGGACAGTTCTCCAGTTGGCCTTGGACCAACTTAGTTCTTTCTCCTTTCTCACTTGTGGTTCTCTAGGATAACTGTGGAATGTGCTGGGAGTGTAGCATCCTGCGATAAAGAGAGATGGACCAGAACAGCCTCTCGTCTCTCCTAGAAATAGAATGTCCTTCATGTTTTTGTTTGTTTTGAGACACAGTTTCGCTCTTATTGCCCAGGCTAGGGTGCAATGGTGCAGTCTCGGCTCACTGAAACTCTGCCTCCCAGGTTCAAGCGATTCTCCTGTCTCAGCCTCCTGAGTAACTGGGATTACAGGCAGGTGCCATCACGTCCGGCTAATTCTGTATTTTTAGTAGAGACGGGGGTGGGGGGCGGGCAAGACGGGCAGAGGGGGAGGGACGGGGCAGGGGCGGTTTCTTGATGTTGGTTGGGCTCGTCTTGAACTCCTGATGTCAGGTCAGCTGCCCACCTTCACCTCCCAAAGTGATGGGATTCAGGAGAGAACCATTGCTCCTGGCTGAACGTCCTTCATGTTTTAGCCCAGTGTATCATGCCTCCCATCTCCTCTCTCACTCCCACAATTAGGCTATCGTTGCAGTGTTATTAAGAAATACCTGAGACTGGGTACTTTATATAGAAAAGAGGTTAAATTGGCTCATAGTTCTGCAGGCTGTACAGGAAGCATAGTATCAGCATCTGTTTGGCGTCTGGGGATGCCTCAGGGAACTTTTTCTATTGGCAGAAGAAGGGAGAGCAGGCACATCATACGGTGAGAACTGGAGCAAGAGACAGTGTGTGTTGGGGGTGCCACACACTTCTAAAGAACCAGATTGCCCTAGAACTCACACACTATTGCAAGGACACCAAGCCATAAGAAATCCAACTACATGACTCAAACACCTTCCAGCAGGTCCCACTTCCAACAATGGGGACCACAATTCTACATGAGATTTGGTAGGGACATATATTCAAACTGAATCAGTGCACTCGTTCATCCCCAAATCTCATGTCCTTCTCGCACTGCAAAACATAATCATGTCTTCCCAATCATCTCCCAAAGTTTTAACTTGTTCCAGCATTAAACTCAAAAGTCCAGTGTCATAGGAGGCAAGGCCCTGAAAAAGAACTAAGAAATCTGGAACAGCACAATGCAAGTAAAACTCATCTTGGTCAGTACTTTTCCTTGTACAGGAGGAAACCGAGGACACCCGGTGCATCGCCCAATACAGGTTAAAACAGAGCAGAGACTTCAAACCCTCAGCTTCCGGTCCCAACCCATAGAGTCTTCCATCTCCTACGTCGGAAGTGACATACAGCTCCTGTTCTCCTTCGCGTCCGTAGAGGTGACCCAGGCTGGAGAGGGGGGAGAAGCGGCGGGACGAAGAGCGGAAGCACCCCTCCTACCTGGACCCGGAAAAACATGGCAACCCCGAGCCGGCCTATCCGGAAACCGGCTCGAAGAAGTCGGGGAGAGGGGGATTAGCCATCGCTTCCGGAAGTTGTGACTTTTGTTTCAGAGCGGGCGATCTTCCGAGACGCACTGGGGACCGGATGGTGAGTTTTCCTGGTGCCCTTACGGGCCGGCTCGGGAGGGGGAGGGTCCGGGCAGCTTTAATAGTGTCCTTAGGACAATGATTGCGGTTTCTTCGGCCGGTGTTTATCAAGCGCCAACGAGGCCAGTCTCCAGGAATGCAGTACGAGAAGGATAGAGTCAGTCTATCCCCTCAAGAAACATCGTTCAGTGAGGAGACATACAGCGGATAGGCGCACGATTCTTTAACGCTGTGATTGAGACCAAAAGGGAGCTAATCCTCAGACTAAAAAGAGCCCTAGTCCTGGGGTTCTGAGCGCTGTAGCAAATGGACACCAAATGGAGTTGAAGGGAGGGAGGAGTGCGTCAGGCGGAGCTGAAATGAGAGGGAATTACCTGTCCGATAGGGCAGAATCGGGGAGAAAACTTGGTGACCTGAGCTTAGAGAAGGCCATTGCGGCGGTAGCAGAAGAGGGAGGCAGGGACCAGATATTACGGTATAGATCACCGTGACACAAAGTAGGCGCTTTATCATAAGAGCAGCAGAACGACTGGATCTGATGTACTTTTTGAAAGGATCACTGTAACTGCGGGGGGGAAGACTGGATTGTAGGAGGGCAGGAATTGTGAGAAACCACTTAGGAGGCTATCGCTGTAGATGAGTGGTGGTGACCTAGCTTACATACGGGAGAGAAGTGGACGAATCAAAAGTATATTCAGGAGGTGAAAATTCAGGACTTTATGGATTAGCTACAGGATTTGAGTGACAGGTTGGCTACTCAACGATGATTCCAAGTTTCTGGCCTGAGTGAGTGAATTACACTAAAGAAGAACAAACTATTTTGAGATTTTCTAAGGGTTCTTCCCCGCTCAGTGTTAAAACCACATTTTTTTCCCTTTCTGATTATGCGTTCTCATGTTTTGTATGCTCACTGTAGAAAATTCAGAGCATACATAATAAAATACTTTCCTCTGTATAAAGGACAATAAAAATTACCTCATAATCTCACTACCCAAGATGGTCATATTTTAGTGTGTTTCCTTCATGTGTTTTTAAAAAATGTGCATATTTTTATATAAATGGGATGCTACTAATTTTATCTTTCTGTATCCATTTTTTCCCCCTTAGCATGACTAATGATTCAACTGTGTGCCAGGATATTGTTCACAAATTTATTTTTTTCCTGTTTGAAACAAAAAAAGTCAAATGTAATTCTAAGTAAGAGATAACATTAACTTTTTGGTGTGTTTTCTTTTCAATATTTGTTTAAAAGCTTTCTAAAAAGCCCACGATTTGGCCACAGTTTGTGTTGTTTTTCATTCAGATGTTTTTACTTAATGTTATTTTTGCCATTTTTACACACCATCAAGACCACATGTTTTAATGGTTGTTAAAGCATGACACACTGCAGTCAGTTTGGGGAGCTAGGGGAGGGACAGCAGGGGGTGGGGAGGGATAACATGGGGAGAAATACCAGATATTGGTGATGGGGAGATGAAGGCAGCAAAACACCTTGCCATGCATGTATGTGCCTATGCAACAATTCTGCATGATCTGCACATGTACCCCAGAACCTAAAGTACAATTTAAAAAAAAGAGAGAAAAAAAATTCCTAACATTCTGCTCCTACATGTCTGCTGGGGAAGCAGCTCTTCAAGCATGCATCTGAGCCTGCTTTATCTGAATAAACAGCAACCAGTTAGGCCCCTTGGCTTTTCCCCAGGAATGGCAATGGAATTAAAAACAGCTCAGCAGGGTTAGGAATATAACATCTCATGAGGATGCCCAATGGGCTTTGGCAATGGATTTTTCTAGTTTAACACTTTTAATCATGTTACTGTCAAAGTTATTGAATATTTGTTAAGAAGTGAGTTCTAATGTTAACTTTTAAACAAAAGAAATGTCTTGATCTTTTCATTTTGTGTGCAGTAGAATTCCTGCTTATCTGTGAAATGCAGTTAACACAGCAGCTGGACCTATTTCCTGAATGCAGAGTGACCCTTCTGTTATTTAAAGATGTCAAAAATGCAGGAGATTTGAGAAGAAAGGCCATGGAAGGGACCATCGATGGATCACTGATAAATCCTACAGTGGTAAATATAAATGTTAAGAATGAGTGAGCCAGCTAGGTGCGGTAGATCTCACCTGTAATCCCAGCACTTTGGGAGGCTTAGGCGGGTGGATCTTCTGAGGTCAGGAGTTGAAGACCAGCCTGGCCAACATGGTAAATCCTGGCTCTACTAAATATACAAAAAAATTAGCTGGGAGTGGTGGTGGTTGCCTGTAATCTCAGCTACTTTGGGAGTCTGAGGCAGAATTGCTTGAACCCAGGAGGTGGAGGTTCCAGTGAGTTGAGATCGCACCATTGCACTTCAGCCTGGGCGACAAGAGCAAAACTCTGTCTCAAAGAAAAAAAAAAGAAAAAGAAAAAGAAAATATCCTTATTTGAAGTATTCAGGGTAAAAGGCCAGAATGTATCTAACTTATGCTCAAATGGTTCAAGGAAAACAAAGATGTATTTATATGTCTATATACAGTTATCTATACAAAGAGGAATCGCAAATCATAAAGCAAACGGGAAAAAAATTAATCAGTAAAGTTAAACAAGGGTATAACACATTGTATTATTTTTAGATTTCCAACTTTGTAAAATGTTTGAAGTAATTTCTGAATAAAAATTTAACTTGAAATGCAATTGGCTTTGGCCAGGTGTGGTGGCTTCTGCCTGTAACCCCATAACTCTGGGAGGCCAAGGTGGGCAGATCACTTGAGGCCAGAATTCAAGCCCAGTCTGGCCAACATGGTGAAACCCTCTACTAAAAATACAAAAATTAGCTGGGCATGATGGCACATGCCTGTATTCCCAGCTACTCAGAGGCTGAGGCTGGAGGATCCCTTGACCCTGGGAGGACAGCTTGAGCCTGGGAGGTGGAGGCTGCAGTGAGATCACACCGTGCTGTACAGAATGAGACGCTGTCACAAACAAGAAACATGCAAATAAAAATCAGTTGGTTTTAACACAAAAGACATCCAAATGATACCATGGTGTTTTTTTAAAAAATTCGCTTAATTCTAGTCATAGAAAATTTAGCAACTAATATATGATAAAACCTTCTCTAGCACAGAATGATTTTTAAGTTTGGTTCTGAATACACCTAAATGTTTCTTTGCACTTAGTCACACATGGCCAATCTGCAAATCCATCTAAGTGTCTAGCTGCAAGTGAATAGGTTTACCTACTAACTATAATATCATATCCACCAAAACAAGATCTGGAAAACTTTTAAAATCATATTTATATAAACCAACAGGTCTATTCATTCTGTGTACTCACGTCTGCTGTCTATAACTTTCACAGAATCATAGATTCCATGAAAAACATCCCAAGGGAGAGTTAGCCTCTCTCCTCCCTTAGTATGTGGTGGTAGTCTCCCACTAGCAATCATTACACACCCATATCCTTAAACTGTCATTCCTGTGCCAAACTGAGACTTTGATGCATCATCTGAAAAAAATATTTCAACTGTCACATGGTGATAGTGCTGCCTGTCGGTTAACTCTTCTTTTCAGAAGTTCTGCCATCTTGGCCTACATACAGAATAAATTTGGAATATTTTACCTTACACCTTTGTAAGTGGAAAACCAAAAGACTAAAGTGCCAATAATAATCATAATATATTGGGTACTGAAAGCGTAATTTAGCTACAGATTTCTTTAAAGAACGTGCATGAAATGCTGGACCTAGATCATTAAAAACCCTCTCTAAATTATGAGGTACTAAAGAGAAAACACTTCATGTTGATAGACTGAAACAAAAAAACCAGCATTTATATTCCAATAGTAAAAATACAGTTTCTCACAAATTTCTTTATAAACGGAGGGGGGAGAAGACCAGAATTCATTAGTTTCTTAACAAATTTTGCTCCGCCAAATTAATAAAGCACCAATATCTGCATCATAATACATTATTCATCTCTCTTACAAGATCAATGTTTCTTCCCAAAACTAAAACTGATTTCTGCCTACAAAATGCCATTTTAAGAAACTGAGAACAGGAAAGGCCTGGAGGTTCACGCCCGAATCCCAGCACTTAGGTGGGAGGTGGGAGGGTTCTTGAACCCAGGAGTCTGAGACCAGCCTGGGCAAAGATCTCCTCTCTATAAAAATAATTAGCCACGTATGGTGACTTTAAAAGCCCATGGTCCCTGCTACTTGGGAAACTGGAGACCACCTGAGCCTGTGAGGTCAAGGCTGCAGTGAGCCATAACTGCACCACTGCACTTCAGCCCGGGTGACACAGCAAGAACCTATCTCACAAAAGGAAAAGAAGAACAAATGAGATAATAAATGTCCTGAGGAAATTGATATTTATAATACCTTTAATGTTTAAATGCACATACATTAATAAACAAGAGTCAGAATTTTTTTTAAACGCATTTAAGGCCGGGCGCGGTGGCTCTCGCCTGTAATTCCAGCACTTTGGGAGGCCGAGGCGGGTGGATCATGAGGTCAAGAGATTGGGACCATCCTGGTCTCCATTGTGAAACCCCGTCTCTACTAAAAATACAAAAAAATCAGCTGGGCATGGTGGTGCGTGCCTGTAATCCCAGCTACTCGGGAGGCTGAGGCAGGAGAATTGCCTGAACCCAGGAGGCGGAGGTTGCGGTGAGCTGAGATCGCGCCATTGCACTGCAGCCTGGGTAACAAGAGCGAAACTCCGTCTCAAAAAAAAAAAAAAAAAACCAACAACAACAAAACGCACTTAAGTATTTCATAATTAGAGATGGCATAAAACTTTCAAGTCATCCAATAATAGAGATTCCCTTATGTTTTATCAGGCCACTGCTGCATTTTGGTACATTTGACTTCAGTACACTTAAACCTCGCTTTCAGGAACATAGAGAGGTAAGTGCCTATCCTTACTATAACATAGATCACAATGTTTCCCTATGCCCTTAACTGTGTCTATTATTAGCTGGCTGTAAGTAGCATAAGGGCAAAACTCTTAGTCTCATCTTTTTCCCTGCTCCCCCCAAAAATATCTTGTATAGTGCTTGATATAAGCATGTTATAGCAACTACTCGCCTGCTTTTAACAGATGCCTGTTATATAATTAAGTCAAGAAAATTATTAAGTTGCAAGGACTTGAGCTAACTCACCCTTCCTTTTAAAGAAAAGGAAACTGACATCTAGAGAAACAAAGCGATTGCCAGTGGTATAGTGAAGACTAAATGCAGCGACACTGCGTTTCTTTCCCACAACTTTTGTAGAATACATATATTGAGTGTATCTAAATAATTCTCTATTCCTTAGTGAGTTGCTGTGATAGTTAATATCAAAAAAAAAAAAAGAGGTTAAGTCAAAAAGGCAGGAAATAACAATTTTCTGAGAAAGGAGATAAACAAACATATTCTAAAAGGGAATGACCATGCATTGCTTATACTTTCTTCCACCTTCCCCATTAAGCTTTCAGGTGCAATGCCCCCTTTTCTTCCCTTACTTATAAACTATTAGGCTATAGATTCCCCAGGTTTAACAAAAACAATCCAAGAAACAGGTGACTCCTGAAATACTGAAATTTCTGAGAGTCACCATCTACTAGAGGCCTGCTAGCTTTAAGTTTTGGGAGGGAGCACTGGGGCTGGTGGAGACTTCAAAGGCATTGCCACACTGCTCACTCCTTTGCCCTTCACCCGCAGACATCACCATGCTGCTCTGGGCTTCTGGGACCCTTCTTTCTACTGTTCCCTCCTAAACCATTTTACTGTGCTGTTTGATACCGCCACTCCACTGTGAACCAGCTCTTCTAACCCTCAACTTCTTTACTGAACATTCTTGCCTTTACCTCACCTGCATGAAAACTGGGCTCTTTCTCGAGGACACTGCTTTCCCTGTGGAACTTGCTACATGGAGGCTAAATCGTTGTCTCATACTCTACACACCTAAGATAGGAGGAAGAAGGTCAGTACCCTCTACTCACCAATGCTGCTTCCAGACTTCTATTTCAGAGGCCTTGGGCAAAAGTCTTGGTAATTCTGCTATATCATTCTCTATCCTTCCTCATTGCTTCTATCTACCATCCTGCCAGTCACCTCACTGCTCTTTACCAAAGACTCTTGCCCTATTCTTCCTCTCCACCCCTAGTCCTGCCATCATTCTGGGTGATTTCAATGTTAGGTAGAAGTGCAATCCAGTATCACAGCCTCATAGTTTACTTGACCTCACCTCTAGCAATCCTAATCTGACTATACAGTAGGCCTTTGCCTCATGGTCTAACACTGGCCATGAAAATCAACCTGAACTGCTATTCCTCTGAAATTCTGAATTCAACAACCAACATCCAACATCAAAAACCCACACAGACACACACAAACACACACACACACACACACACTCCTCTGCTCGCCAACACATACGTTCTTTCTCTCTCTCCCCCTTACTTTGACCACAATCTCCTATCATTCTCACATTTATTTATTCCTACTACTCTTGGTTCTTAAACCTAATTCAGGTCTTGAATTTACTGACTGTCTACTCTCCTCCTACCTGTCCTGCCTTTTTCTATTCAAATCCTTCAACTCAGATGCCACAGTCCATCACTTCAAATTACTCTCTTGCTATCAGCCTCAGCTTTCTTGACTTACTGTCCTACCACAGGGCCCACATACCAAAACACATCCTTGAATCAATACAACCATTTGCTTTCTCTGAACCCATATTTAGGCTGTTAGGCACAGTCAAAGAAAAGTCAAATAAAAAAATATAGAAAGGGATCAAGAGGTGGGAAGCAGAAAGGTTAATCCCAGGAACAGAGAAGCCAATGTGCCCCAAAGAGCAGAAGAGATGGTCTGCAGAGTTCAGAAGGCAGGCAGCTCATGCTTGAAGGTGATATGCTTCTGCCTACCAAAGAAATCTGAGCACATCAGTTACTTTTTTTATATATATAAAGACGGGGTTTCACCATGTTGGTCACGCTGGTCTTGAACTCCTGACCTCAGGTGATCCGCCCGCCTTGGCCTCCAAAGTGCTTGGATTAGAGGCATGAGCCACGACGCACGGCCATCAGTTACTTGTTTCTTACCAAGAATCCCTGGCCTGGCATGGTGGCTCATGCCTGTAATCCCAGCTACTCAGGAGGCTGAGGCAGGAGAATGCTTGAGTCCTGGAGGCGGAGGTTGTGGTGAGCTGAGATTGCACCATTGCACTCCAGCCTGGGGAACAAGAGAAAAACTCCATCTCAAAAAGAAAAAAAAAAAAATCCCTTAGATTTCCGAGTTATGAGCTGAAAGTGAGGTAAGGCCTGTTTTGTTTTGTTTGTTCATTTCCACACACGTAGCTTAAGATGCTTTCTGGATCTGCAATGCTAAGTAGTGATCTATGTTGGAGAAAGAAATAAGGGCGGTCCGGGCCCTTACTTTGCTACCTCTAACGCTCTCTACAGAACCACCCAGTAATTATGATATTTAACTGTGGAATGGTAGAGTTTTTACACTCATGAGGCAAACTCACACTAGTGGTGCTATAGAGTTTAAGACCAGCCTGACCAACATAGAGAAACCTCGTCTCTACTAAAAATTCAAAAAAATTAGCCAGGCATGGTGGCACATGCCTTTAATCCCAGCTACTTGAGAGGCTGAGCCAGGAGAATTGCCTCAGTGATTGGACATGGCTGAAAGCCATTTCTGATAACCAGGGGAGCTGGGATGGGGAGGTGATTACTGGCATCTAGTGTCCTGTATCAGCCAGGCCACAGGACAGCCTCACATAACAAAGAATCATCACATCCAAAATAGTGCTGAGGTTGAGAAACACCATCTTACAAATAATTCTCTGTCCTCCCAAATATATTCACCTACTCAGGAACCTTTAGGCCTTGTTTCCTCCTCCTCTAGACACTCAGCTGACCTGGGGAATTACAAGCTGCTTGACCAACAAGCTCATTATCTTGTTTTTGATGGAGAGAGAGTTGAGGAACAAAGACGACAAATAAAACCCCAGCTGTGAGGTGAAAGAAGTCTCAACCTTGGCTCACAGTCCCCCTTCCAAAGCTCTGTGGTGTGTGGGGATCCGTGAGCTGCCAGTTCCGGTCAGAAAATAATAAAGAAGTCCCAGAAGTACTTCCTCGTGAGGGTCTGCTTCAGAGTCATACAGAGATGCCTCTTGCCTTCACCTCTGTACTCATCTCATTGCCTCGCTTTGAATCCAGGCTTGAACACTGTCCAAGCAGAATAAGCAGGCACTCTCTTCAATTAGTTCTGAAACCATCTCAATGATTTTGGGCAAACAAACTCCCCACAATCTGGCAACAAGGTGTCCAGCAGGGGTTATTTTTAAGTCTACATTTCTTAGTTTCCTGAAGAATACACTGGGCACGCCAAAAGGCTGCAAAGCTACAGTTACGGCATCAGCGACAGCTCTTCAGCTAGCCTGTGCTTCGACCGAAAACAGCACAAACAGCAAAGTCAGCCAAGCCACGAGGGGCCTGGTCAAGCATCTAACAGTGTAGGATCGCTGCCTAACAAGCAGGCTCCTACTACAATACAGCCTTTGAAGTGTCTTGAAAATAAATCCTATGTTTGGAAAACAAAGCCCTCTCTCCAGGCCCAGACTCACCCCACTCACCCCGCCCTCATCCCTGTTTCATTGAAAAGCTAAAAATGAAAAAGTGCTTGGATATTTAAATATTTTCATATAGAGTAACTTTTTTCTTTAAAGGGCCATCTTCTTAGGAATACAAATCCCTCAAGAATGGTGCTCGAGCTGCTCAAGCTTTCCAACCAGAAGATATGACTGTATGAAAAGATGCGACGAGAAACAATAGAACCAGCCTCACTTCTGCCCCATAAAACAATTCAAATCACTGAAGATGACATCTCTTGCTGGCATCTCTGCTGCCATCTACTGAGTCAAACTGGCACACAGTCTAGTCAGTCCTAACCAAGAAGGGTCATTGTTCTGTATACGTTTCCATTTTAAGTCTTACCATGTTGTATTACAACTGTTTGTATATAACTTTACTTCTAGATTGCAAGTACCCACAAGATACATAGGATGTCTTGTTCCTCTTTTAGTAGGTAATCAGGAAATGGTTGTTGGATTAAGTAACTGTGAGTGTTACAGGCCTTCTCCAAAAAGAGCATCTCAAGAATTTTCTTAAGGACTCCTCCAAAACCCAGACACTACCATAATTATATCAAGCAGAAGAGAGCAAGTAGTTTATTTTTAAGGCCTTCAGAGTAGCTCCTTCTACAACTTTTTTTATTCACCCAATATCAGCCTTCACAATCTCCATCATCAGCAAATTATTCTGTCTCAAATAAGAATTGTTTATTATTTAGGTCTATGGCTCATGTGGCTTAGAGTTGGTTGTAACCTTAATGTGAGGGGTTTTGGACACTCAAAAGCAGAACTGTGACGATACTGTTGTTCTTTTCTTCCCAAATTGAATAAGCGCATTCCTTCAACTTTTCTTTCTACATCTTCATGATCTATACTAGTTTCAATACTCTATTTAGCATTTAAGCAAAGGTAATTTTTTTTTTTAATTTTTTATTGGATTATAGGTTTTGGGGTACATGAGCAGAGCATGCAAGACAGTTGCGTAGGTACACACATGGCAGTGTGCTTTGCTTTTCTTCTCCCCTTCACCCACATTTGGCATTTCTCCCCAGGCTATCCCTCCCCACCTCCCCCTCCCACTGGCCCTCCCCTTTTCCCCCCAATAGACCCCACTGTTTAGTACTCCCCTTTCTGTGTCCATGTGTTCTCATTTTTCATCACCCACCTGTGAGTGAGAATATGCGGTGTTTCATTTTCTGTTCTTGTGTCAGTTTGCTGAGGATGATGTTTTCCAGATTCATCCATGTCCCTACAAACGACACAAACTCATCATTTCTGATTGCTGCATAATATTCCATGGTGTATATGTGCCACATTTTTCCAATCCGGTCTATTATCAATGGGCATTTGGGTTGATTCCAGGTCTTTGCTATTGTAAACAGTGCCGCAATGAACATTCATGTACATGTGTCCTTATAGTAGAACGATTTATAGTCTTTTGGATATATACCCAGTAATGGGATAAGCAAAGGTAATTTTAAGAAGTGTTTGCTGTCCCTGCTATTATCCTTATCAATGGGATACCTTGCATTAGGCAAACCTAGCATTTACCAGGCAGATAAGTTAGGAGTTGGTGATTCATTTCACAGAGCAGTCCCAGGAAAATTTCTTCAAAATGACTACTTCAGTCCTATTTCATTTAGAAAATATTCATTTTTGAGCAATTTTTCATGAATTACAAATCACAGAATGAGAGTAGCTGTAATCTTACTGATGTCTAATTTATGTGTCACTTGGGTTTAAGATATGTATTTTTTTCTGGTTTCTGCTGCTGGTGTGAGGAGCTCTTCAAGATCTCTTGTCCCTTACAGAAGTGGTCAGCATGAAGATCATCTCTTAGAAAGTATTATGTTCATTTGACACCTGAAAAGGCATACCCAGAGAGTAGAAGAAACTTGGAGACTCTTTATATACACAGATAGCAGAAAGGAGTCTTTCCCATCTCTAAGGGACCAACCTGGGCAAAGGAATAGCCTTGGCAATCAGTCTCCCTGTCGCTGCACACTCAAGAAAACAGGGAGAGTCACATTCTCTAATGCCAAGGTTAATACCTATCTTTGGTTTCTTAGCAAGCAGGTTCTCTGCACTGCAATCTGGAAGGCCACTAGAATCTCTCTGCCAATGTTTTTGCCATCCTCATTATTGATCCTAGTAGCAGCATGAACCTGTTTCTGGATGTTGTGTTTAGATGCTGATCAGCATTAAGTACTCACCCCAGGGAGGCTGGGCAAAAACAGCATGCGGACTTTTCAAGCTGACTTTATAAACTGTTTGCTCTTTGGACTTGTCAGGGCCGGCAGTCAGAACCCATGATCGTTAATTCATAAATGCCTAATTCTTTAAGCAATTTGGCAAAAATCTTCAATAATTCAGTTTCACTGCTGGGGGCTGCTTCCAAAATGTATATTTTCAAAATGTGTGAGCAGACCGGGCACAGTGGCTCACGCCTGTCATCCCAGCACTTTGGGAGGCTGAGGCAGGCAGATCTCCTGAGGTTGGGAGTTCAGGACCAGCCTGAGAAACATGGAGAAACCCTGTCTCTACTAAAAATACAAAATTAGCCGGGTGCGGTGGAGCACACCTGTAATCTCAGCTACTTCGGAGGCTGAGGCAGGAGAATTGCTTGAACCCAGGATGCAGAGGTGGCAGTGGGCCTAGATTATGCCACTACATTCCAGCCTGGGCAACAAGAGCGAAACTCCATCAAAAAAAAAAAAATTGGCAAAAATCTTTGATAATTCAGTCCCATTGCTGGGGGCTGCTTCCAAAATGTAATTTTCAAAATGTGTGAGCAGGCCAGGCACGGTAGCTCACACCTGTGATGCCAGCACTTTGGGAGGCCAAGGCGGGTGGATCACGAAGTCAAGAGATCGAGACCATCCTGGTCAACAAGGTGAAACCCCATCTCTACTAAAAATACAAAAATTAGCTGGGCATGGTGGTAGGTACCTGTAGTCCCAGCTACTTAGGAGGCTGAGGTAGGAGAATTGCTTGAACCCCGAAGGCAGAGTTGCGGTGAGCCGAGATCATGCCATTGCACCCCAGTCTAGGCAACAACAGTGAAACTCAATCTCAAAAAAAAAAAGTTTGCCCATAGTGGAGAGCTAAAAATGCTTGGTGGTGACTATTGGTGCAATTTGATATACAACATGACAATGGAAACCCCCCCAGTCACAGTGGAATTTCCACTAAAGAGCTAACTGGATAGAGACAAGGATCCATGTAGGCAAATCTTCAAAATGTACTTTTGTAGCCTCTATTTTAAAACTGTAATACTGCTTCTTAATCAGGCTTATGGCATACAGTTGGGGAAGAATGCTACAGATTTATTCTTTAGAGTGGGGTTGGGGGAAGTGAGAATTACTTAAGGAGTCTGTACCTTTCTCTCTACCCGCAAATTACATCTGTGCTATCTTCCACATTCTTCGGCATTAGAAATCAAAATGGTCTCCATACTGGATTGGCTTACACATAGTAGGTCTACCCTTTATCCTCCCTTCTGTTACCAGCACATCAATAAATTGGGTATTCTGCAGTAGGCTTTTCCAAATGAGAAAATATGGTAATCCTTTACTTTCTTTATCCATTCAAAAAGCTTCATTTAAAGTTGATGGAGGCCTGGCATGGTGGCTTACACCTATAATCCCAGCACTTTGGGAGGCTGAAGCGGGTGGATCACTTGAGGTCAGGAGTTTGAGACCAGCCTGGCCAACATGGTGAAACCCCATTTCTGCTAAAAATACAAAAATTTTCTGGGTGTGGTGGCAGGTGCCTGTAATCCCAGCTAGTCAGGAGGCTGAGGCAGGAGAATCGCTTGAACCCAGGAGGCAGAGGTTGCAGTGAGCCAAGACTGCACCAGTGCACTCCAGCCTGTGTGACAGAGATAGACTCTGTCTAAATAAATAAATAAAAATAAGGTTGATGGAAACAAGAAATTAAATCTAGCCTCCATTTAGGACAGAGGTTTAAATTAGTGACCTGCAAGTCAAGTCTGGTCTGCAGATGTGTTTTGTTTGGCCCACACAGTACTCTGAAAAATCAGGACTACTTACATCAAATCGACATTTCCAGCTTTCAACAAGGTACACCAAGTCCACAATCCTGCATAATAAAAATTGCCTGGAATTTATCACTATTGTCACTTTTGAAAAGTCCCTAGATGTTCCTTTCCCTGACTGTGATTTCACTCATTTACAGTAGTGCCAGAGCTCTATAGGTATTTGAAAGTGACCTTTCGTTTGGAGTCTAGGAAAGGAACATCAAGGAGACTGACACAGATCCTCAAGGTAGGGAAGGTAGCTGTAGATAATTATCAATTAAAAAAACTTAAAAAACTATATAAATAACAAGGTCTTTATTATGTATCCAATATGTTTTTATTCAAGAACACAACAAATTATAACTACTAGCAAATTGACAGCTTATAGTTTCAGTAGTGCTACACCAAACATTTGTTAAATGCTGTTTTTTTTCTGAGAAAAAAATGGAAGAAATGTATGAGCTTTGTATAAAATGTACAAAGTTAAAAAAAAAAATAAGGCCTCTGCTTTGATTTTTAACTTAACATATGCTTTAGCAATCTAACAGAATTTCAGGCACCTAAAAAGTAGCAATTTTTCATCTTTTAAAGTTAAAAAAAGTGATTAATTTAATGGTCATTTCTTAGTTAGTTCAGGATTTAGGAAAAGTTCTTAATATTAAGAAAAATTTTTATTAGATTTCCGTTTCAGAATGTCTCTAAACCTTTCCGAATGAATGAATTTAATAGAAATCCATTTTGATACATGCTTGACGATAATAAATAAAAATGTGACTAGTTACAATTAAATCTTTTAGACCTTGGAATAAATTTCTTCCTTTCCTCACTGATATGGTGGAACGAAAACCTAATATGAAATCAGAGAAACTTAATTCATCATGGCCCTTGCTATGCGCCTGCTATGTCAATCATAGCAGAAGAAGAAGAAAAGAGAGAAGACTCACTCGAGCAAGACCCAGTAAAACACACGAACACTGGTTAAATCTTCATCGGAACAATTCAAAGGCTAAAAGGCATTGTTAAGCAATTGGTGAAATTTGAATATGGACTGGCTATTAGATAATATTAAGGAATTAAGGAATTATTATTAGTAATTTAAAAAATATGCTGTGTCTTTCCATTGAAATTGTAATCTTGCTAGCAGAAATTGTGTGCAAAATAGGTATTCAGTAGATGTTGTTGATGCAGATGTTGAATTGTAATGTTTTAAATTAAGGTTGAAGGTCAAGAAGCACTAGGAAATAATTTCTACCTTTTCAGAATTACTGAATTTGAGAGTTCAAAATGACAAGAGGAGTTATCTAGTCAAAATAAATTTATCTTAAGTGTGAAGAAAAGCACACATAGCTAGAAAGTGGTGGGGCTGGTCTAGAATGCAGGTTTCTGTGCAGACCCACATTATACCTCCTTCCGTGTAGCTTACATGGAGCCTCTTATAGCTTCAAAGCCCTATGTAGCTCACAACTCAATCTTTCTCCTTCTCCACTTAACTTTATAATCTTGCTCTTCCTCCCAACTCCATTTTCCATCTCCAGCCTTTTTAAAATTTATATTCACTTGACAACTTTTACTTTCCTTGGGAAAGCTGCCAGGGGCAATTCTAACTGAGAAGGAATAATAACGAGCAAAGGAAAAACAAGGCAAAGTGAAAAGAACAACGACAGCGGCTGTTTAAGCTTCCTCTAAGATGATACGTCTACTTTATCCCCCTGGCTTTCATGAACACACTTTTTCCTCAGCTCTGTCAAATACTTTAAAGAGGGATAAACATATAAATACAAATCAATAGACATATGGGATTTAGCAAGTATAAACTAACAGAGAAATGTGTTTCTGGGGCCTATTATGTAGAAATTACAGCTATCTTTTCTTAAGTTCCTCTGTTATGTTATACACATATATTAGTGATACACATACATTATCACTAATCCTCACAGCAAGCCTAAGGGATGACTGCCCATATTTTATAAATGAGGAAGAGGTAGGGCCACAATTTTAATATGAAGCTGTCTGACTGCCCGTTAATCTTCTTACCACCGTAACATAAAAATACATACTCAATTTAAATTTAGGAGGGGAAAAAGTTATGCTTTCTGCTCTTATTCTAATAGCAGCTCATTTTTATTTTTACTTGAAAAATGTTTTTTTCCTTTTTTAGTAACAGAGACAGGATCTTACTGTGTTGCCTAGGCTGGTCTCAAACTCAAGCGATCCTCCTGCCTCGACCTCCCAAAGTGCTGGGATTACCACCTCGCCCAGCCAGCAGCTCATTTTAACCATGTTTCATGGTCAAGGCTGACATTTAGCTAGTATGTCCTGGTGTGTGGCATAAGGGCTAAAGGCTGTTCTCTTTCACTGGGTACCTGTCCTGCTTGATTTGTGCCCATGCCATACTAATCATTAAATATTTTTAATATTACACTTGTCCATGGCATAGAACTTTTAGAGTTTTCAATCAAATACTTACTCAGATACTTGAAATCATCCAAAACCACTTCTTATATTTTTCATACCTATAGGTATCACAGGTCTACTTCTATGCAAAATTTGACTGGTCCTCTCTCTCAGTAATAATATGCCAAGATTCCCAGCTTTTATACTAGAAGTTTGAGCTCTGCCATATTTATATATATATCAAAGCATGGACACATCTTCAAACCAGCAGTACAACATTATTACACTCTAGGTTTTTGCCAGCAAGTCCAACCTTGAAATGAAATCCTGCTTGTCATCAGGCTTGTAGCATTTCACGTTTGGGAAGACAGTCTAACAGACAGGATACTACCGACACCTTCCTCAGTTCTTGCTATCAAATTAGATCACCAGAAAGTATTACATCTGGACATTAGCTTATGCCCTTAGATAAAAATGCCTACACTGTTTTGTACAAAGTTATAATCTTGGATTTTATCAAGATTCAATATAAGAAATGACCATATGGGAAAAAGGAAGCAATGGTATAAATATTTCAAAGACAAATCTAAATGTCATCATAACAAAAGTGTGATTTATTTCTGAGAGCTTCTTACTCTAGATTTATTTATAAGTTAGTTATGTCAAAATCAGTTTGCCCAACCAGCATACAGAAAATGTTGAACAAGCTCCCTCAACTGGTTGAGATATAGAACTACCAAAACACATGTTCCATTAGGTTGACTGCGTCATCCTCTTCAGAAATTTCTGTAACTGCAGCCTGAGATCGAAGAATGGACATGATGTCGCTAGATAAGTTGTCAAAGCCATTCTGTAAACATATACTCGCCACTTCTTGCCACATTTCTATAGAGCAAAATGAATCATTTATCATAAGACTTTCTACTGCACCTGTGGGGGAAAAAATACAATATTATAGTATGGCACTTATTCTTATTTGATAATCCATACTTTAATGATTCTTCAAAAACAGAAAAAGACATAATTTCATCTCAGCTACCGTTAAACACTACCTGATTCCCCTATGATCAACCATATAAGGTTCAGTGCTCAGTCTAGCTCATGGCAAGTACTTGGGTTAGTTCCTTCTCCTCCTCTCTTATCATTAACCTCTTCATGTCTCAGTTCAACCCTCCACCACATTCTCACATTCCATGTCTCCACTCATCTCCTTTTTGTTAAGGTGGCAGATGCTGAAGGATATAAGGCAGGAGCTCAGAAAGTGATGAATGTGGGCTCATCCTTATTCTCAGAGTCTATAAAGCCCCACCAGAAACTATCAAATAACTGTGGACCTGTAGGCCAAGTTTTCATGATTTCAAACACTAAATTAAAGGCCTTAGTGATGCTGACCCAAAAACTTGAGAAACTCTTTGACAAACTCTTCATCCTGTCTCTAGATGGAGACCTATTAATGATGAGGCTGCTATACCACATATTTTTCTAGGGAAATGAAATCATTTTGTTTGTTCAAGAAATTTCATATTACTTACTTTTTAAAATCTCTTAGGGATCTAACAATTTATGGAACTCATTTCTTATCTATTACCTGCATTACTTATGCTACTTCATAAAAGAGGATCTCTTCAGAATGCTGTCATCACTATAATTTTATTTCTACCATAATTACTATTTTTCTATCAAAATATTTTAGTTGATATCTATAGTGATAATTTCAAAATATAAAGTTATTTCCAAAATATATTTTCAAGTAATTTAAAATCAAGTTGTCTGTTCAACTTCCTATATTAATGAAAAGAAAATAAGAGTTTTAATTATTCTTCCTCTCTCTCCCTCAATCCCTCTCTCTCTTTTTTTTTTTCTTGAGGCAGGGTCTCACCCAGGCTGGAGTGCAGTGGCACAATCACGGCTCACTGTAGCCTTGAGCTCCCTGGGCTCAGGTATTCTTCAACCTCAGCCTCTTGAGTAGCTGGGACTACAGGTGCACACCAACACACCTAGCTAATTTATATATATATATATATATTTTTTTTTTTTTGAGACGGAGTTTTGCTCTTGTTACCCAGGCTGGAGTGCAATGGCGCGATCTTCACTCACCGCAACCTCTGCCTCCTGGGTTCAGGCAATTCTCCTGCCTCAGCCTCCTGAGTAGCTGGGATTACAGGCATGTGACACCATGCCCAGCTAATTTTTTTATGTTTTTTTTTTTTTTAATAGAGACAAAGTTTTACCATGTTGCCCAGGCTGGTCCTGAACTCCTGAGCTCAAGCGATTCACCCACCTCAGCCTCCCAAGGTGCTGGGATTACAGGGGTGAGTCACTGCATCCAGCCTAATTAGTTATTCTCTAATCTACAGCAGAGTTAGGTTCAGGGTGAATATCATATGTAAATACACATACATTTGGTTTAAGAATTAAAACATATAGTTTATGTCTATGTAACATTTAAAATACATATAAAAAGATGGCTAAATATATACATATGTCAATATATGTAAAGTTTTTAGTGTTAATGATTATAATTATTGTAACATTCCCCTCAGGCTTCATAAAGATTCTCTCTCCATTCTGATTTTCTCAAGAAATATATCCTATTGCTAATAGACTATTATTTACATGGCAATCTTTACATTTATAAACTCCTAAAGTTAACTCTTGCTAAGAAGGAACTCTTAGGAAAATCTGAGTTAATTTAGGCATAATCATCTTAAACCTTTCCCTAAATAACCCACCGCTATTTCTTCCACAACATTTTACTCTACTTACCTTTCCCACCTTTACTTATTTCCTGAAGTAGCTTAATGCCAATTTTTTTCATATCTACGGAGAAGAGATGAAGTATGGCAAGACCAAAAGATAAAGATGGTTGTTTCTCATTCAACTCTTTAATGAGACACTGAATTAATTCAACTTGGGGACATGACATTAATAGCTGCAACAGGTCATCTGAAGGCAAAAATGAAAAACTTTATCTCAATATCCTAATATGATAAATCCACTAGAAACCAGGGCTAGCTAATGTCTATACCAGCCAATCAACAGCAGATTTTCTCATCCTTCCAAAGCCCTCAATGAGCCACTCCAACCTAAACTCAACAGTACTATCCCCTAGCCGCCCCATCAAAAAAACATGCTCAGCATAACAAAAAACAAACAAAAAAAACTAGCCATAAAAGTACCCAAAACATAATTATAATGAAAATAATGTGATCTAATAAAAATATAGATTGGCTATTGGGAAACCTGAATTCTAATCATAGCTCTATCAGTCACTAACTGTTTTGGAACTCAGTTTTCACATCTGAAAAGTGCTAGAATTGGAGATAATTTCTAAGGTTTCATCTAATACTACAATTTGTTTGTCTACATCTTGTTGCTCATATTTGGACCAATTTCTGGTAAGTATAATGTCTTTCTTTCTGTGCTCTGCACAGAAAAAGCAACTCAGTAATTTTTTCCTAAAAATATCAAGTACTCAGAAATTCAAACATGAAAACTTAAAGAACCCATTAGCTATTTCAAGTAGCTAGAGGTAGAGCCATATGAAGCTGCCTAAATTTCACCAACAAAAGGGCAATTCCATATGGTTTAATCTGCGAGTTAACCATTGAGGCAATCTAAAGCTACAATTATGATGTGTATTCTTAATTTTTTTAAAACAAAGTCTCACTGTGTTTTCCAGGCTGGAGTGCAATGGCTCACCAAAGGCACAATAATTATGCACTATATCCTCAAACTCCTGGGCTCAAGCAGTCTCCCACCTCAGCCTTCACAATAGCTGGGACTACAGGCACGCACCACCGTGTGCTCTATATTCTTAAATTTATAAACTTTGTATTAACTTTTTAAAGTAAAATATTAAATTTAAGTAAATTTTTTAAGTAAAAATATTATTATGGGGCCACAATAGAGGAAATTTTTACAATAACTTCTGAGAGCCTTTCAAGAACTACCATAGACATAATTTGAACTCTGAAGGCCTTGGGTTTTTAAAATGTGTTTAATAGGTAGAGATGGGGTCCCACTATATTGCCCCAGGTTGATCTTGAATTCCTTATCTCCCTTTTGCTTACTACATTTCAAAATCTATTTTCTTTTTTAAAAACATTATTATAAGTTGTACGGATGAGGTCTCACTCTGATACCCAGTCAGGAATGCAGTGGCAAGTCATCACTCAATGCAGCCTAGAATGCCTAGCCTCAAGCAATTTTCCCATCTCAGCCTCCTGAGTGGCTGGGACTACAGACCCTATCCCTAAAATTTTTAAATTCTAAGAGTTATTAAAATCTCTATCCCATGTTTAAACATTAATAAATATAATTATTACATATGGAAAAATAATAGTTAACACAGAAACCAAAACTGTATACTTAGATAATAAAGAATTAGTTAGTACCTACTATGCCAGATTCTGTTTTGTCACTACATAACCAAAGGCGAATCACTTACTTCTCTGTGCCTTAGCTTTTCTGTGGAAACATACCGTTGTTTTTATCTATAAAATGGGATAGTAACAAAACCTACCTCATCATGATAGAGTCAACATGAGGATTAAATGCGATAATGCATGAAAAAATAGCCTAGCTATTATTGTGATAGTATAGGGTATGCTGTTATTAATGAAGAAATTTGTAACTTTAAAAGAATATATAGATTCTAAGAAAAAGTCAATTAATTTCTTGAAAATGACCATATCCAACAACAACTAAAACTCCTTTTTCCTGGAATAGTATGACCTAAAATGGCTATGTTTGGTTCCATTTTGCATCTTGTTAGAACTGGGATACATAGCCTGCAAATGAGGACTGTCATTGGCCTGGGAGATGGGGCAATGTCAGCAATGCCTGTACTTGGAGTTACTGCCAAACTAGATCCAGAGTAAGAGATCTGCTCATCCAACTAGAGTCACCCTAAGGTCCACAGTTTTCTCAGATTACTGTCCAATGGTAATCCACATTACTGTTCAATTGTGTTTTAAAATTTTGAAATAAATTAGAAATTCATCATTTCTAATGCTTATGTTACAGTTTAAAACATTACATATCACAAATAAGTGATTTTAAAAAATCATTTATGTAGTATGTTCTAGCATATCTGCTAAATTTATCTTTAAAACTGTATATTTCCAGAACTATCTGATTTATTAAATGTTTATATTTTGGGGAAATATATAATATTTTTTAATGTCTATCATGAAAGTCAATCAGCTCCAGCTTACCTATGTTCATGAAAAATTACAAAAGAAATCTCCTACTTATTGGTATATATAAAATTGATTTTATAACATAAGTTTAAAGTACTGCCTGCTATTATGGGTACTCTTACAATTCAAGTCCAGAATTCAAATTTATACAAATTGCAGACTTTTTCACTTACCAGAAGTAAAGTCCTTGACAAACTGCTGTATGTACTCCATGACCCTATGAGTCTGACCCTGTTTACACAAGCAAAGAAGAGCTTTCTTGTGAAGCCCATATTCACTGTAGATCATCTGAGCTAAAGCCAGGCACTTGGCCTTATTATAAGTATCCTGCTCCCCATAATCACAAATCACATCTCCTGCCTCTTCAGAAAATGTCAGTCTAGAACAAGAAGATCAATAATACACGTTAGAAAATTCTTGATGAGTGGCTGAGACCGAGATATTTGAAAATTCAGCACAGTAGAACTGGATTTTCTATCACCTGTAAGAATTCCAAGTTACAATTTAATAGGCAATTGATGATGAAGGATAAATTAAACATATCTGAGATTTAACAACAACAACAAAAACCAATCAGTGTGTATTCCCTTGGAGGAAGACATTTTGGCTCCTCAAAAGTTCATTTTAAAAAATCCACAAACAAGATTAAAACTCTCCTAAAAAGACTGATAGGTCTAAAAATTAGAAGGTAAACAAAAATGCTCTCATCATTGGGGTCTCAATATTTTCAAGCAGTTATCTAGATTCTAAACCCTATGGAATGTAACAGCTTATTAAATGTTGGTTGTAGATAGTGACAACAGTTTCAGCTCATAAAGATAAATATTGCAAGCATTTGTACTAAAAGGAAAACAGAAAGCGTGACAGCACTGTTATTTTAAAAATTTGTTATAGATTTATAAGAGGCAAGAGGGGAAAATGGACATAATTGTGCCTGGTAGGAAAGACTGAGGAAGCAGTCCTTTTAAGAGGGCTCTACTGAATAGATTTCACTTGTCATATTTTAATGTACCACTTCTATATACAACAGAAGTTAATCATCTGATGTGCTATAGGAGTAAATTCACCTAGAAACTATAGGCATAGCCAAAAGAACATCTGGGTATGATCAAAGATACCACTTTTAATTACTAGTGGTATGAGAATTCTATTTATATTTATATTTAATTATATTTATATTTTTAATTAACAGTTACAACAGCAATCATATGATATTGGTGTCTGTATACATCTAAAAATGCTGAAAACATTAAAATGAAATCCTGAAGCCCCTACAAAATGTCTCTTTACTGAAAATTTAGTAGATAAAGCCTTCTGTGTTTATTGGGGTGGGCAGCAGAGAGGTGAGTCTACATCAAAAGGTAGCCTGAGTACAAATTATTTAGTTAAGAAATTATCTGACTTCCACAGTTTTATACCAAAATACAGGTTTTTTGCCGCAATTCCTGAGGCTTAACAAGTTAATTACTTTAGTCTATGTAGTGACTACAATACTGCAACAAAATCATAACGTCAGTATTTAAGTATTTATTTATCTTATGAATGCCATTATTTTTTGAAGGGTCACCACCTTAGAGAAGGCCAGAGCTGGGAAAGTGAGCCAGAGAAATTCCCTCCCCGTTTTTCCCTCCAATCACTTCATCGTACCCTCTTTCTGTTTCCCTAAAATCCCCTTGTTGACTTTTCTCACCCTTACTCCTAACTCAAAGAGGACTCCTTTTGGGCCTTGTCAAAGTGGATCTGAGTCCAGGCTAGCTCTGGAAAATATGAACAGCAAAGAAAGAAATAAAATAAAATGTGCTTAACCCCACAGTAATTGAATACATATTTGATTATAAATTAGATTAAAAAAATTTTTTTACCAGAAAATATGTTTTATGTCTCTCTGTTTTTCTTTTTTTTTTTTTTTTTTTTTAGACAAAGTCTCCCTCTTTTGCCAGTTGCCAGGCTAGAGTGCAGTGGCACCATCTTGGTTCACTGCAACCTCCGCCTCCCGGCTTCAAGCAATTCGTCTGCCTCGGCCTCCCAAGTAATTGAGACTATAGGAGCCCGACACCACACCTAGCTAATTTTTGTATTTTTAGTAGAGATGGGGTTTCACTATGTTGGCCAGGACGGTCTCGATCTCTTGACCTCGTGATCTGCCCACTTCAGCCTCCCAAAGTGCTGGGAATACAGGCATGAGCCCCCATGCCCAGCCTATGTCTCTTTTAAGTTATTACTACATATATGATCTTTAGAGTAAAAACGAGCACCAAGAGATGTCCTTAAAATAGAATTCTGATTCTTATTCATTATACTTCGAGTTTGAGGGTACATGTGGAGAATGTGCAGGTTTTTTACATAGGTTTACATGTGCCATGGTGGTTTGCTGTAAACATCAACCCATCATCCATATTAGGTATTTCTCCTAATGCTATCCCTCCCCTAGCCTCCACTCCACAGGCCCCAGTGTGTGATGTCCCCCCTCCACTGTGTCCATGTGTTCTCACTGCTCAACTCCCATTAATGAAATAGAACACAGTGTTTGGTTTTCTGTTCTTGTGTTAGTTTGCTGAGGATGATGGTTTCCAGCTTCAACCATGTCCCTGTAAGAACATGAACTCATCCTTTTTTTATGGCTGCATAGTATTCCATGGTGTATATGTGCCACATTTTCTTTATGCAGTCTATCATTGATGGGAATTTGGGTTTTCAAATTTTTAAATGTCAAACTAAAGGTAATATACAATCTCTAAATCCATGCATAGAATTTATTTACTGTGATTTTCTAGGACCGAGATTGCAGAGTTAAAATTTCACAGAGTATTTATCTTCTTCTGGGAGCAATATCTGCAATTAAGAGAAGTAATACCAGTAAAGGATGGTTTCTTAAAATTTAGACTTTGCAGACCAAGTGATTAGACTTTTCCCAGGTAAGAATGACTAAGAGAGCCAAGATTAGCCTATAAGGCAGGCTGCTAAAGGGCTAGCTCTATGCTGAGCTTCTGGGAATGAACTGGAAGGCTTTTTAAGGTAGCCATGTGACAGAGGCCAGATAATCAGAGGTAGAAACCGGGAAACAGAGACTAAGTATGAAGAATGTGAATTGCCTTTAATATTCCCTCTTGTATTATCTCAGGATCCTTAAAACTGGTGGCATTTTCTCAATACATGTAGTCACAGAAATGCATAGTAATTAAAGAATTTAAATTCTTACAACTAAGAGGTAGAATGGGTCAAGAATCATCATTATGTGTAAGAAACTTAATCTTGTCTGAAGTATCTTTGTACTAGAACTTTTTAAAACAGGTTTTGGTAAGGAATAGGCACTTTCTGATGACGTCCTCAAGTCCAAACCATTTCCAGTGCTCCGTGATACATACTTTTTGTGGAGGGTGTAGAAACGTGATCGGGCAGAGAAGAGGTCAAAGAAAGAAAAGAAGGGTATGCATATGAAGTTATTTCCTAAAACAAAATTAACTATTAGGTGGACAGTAAACGAAGGCCATCATAAGAATGGGTGGGAGAAACACACTTTGCACTGGTAAATATTGCCATCAAGATAGCTTTATCCAGAATTGTGCAGGGGAAATGGTGGATTTGAAATGAGTGGCAGTAGGCAGTAGTATGTAAACCTATCATTTTTATGTTTAGGACATTTCTAAGTCATGAATTTATTTAGGAAGTGCTTATTAATATCTGTCTATCTCCTTATGATGCCCTTCTTAAAGATGAGAACCATTCAATAATCTCTAGTATGTATTCTACATCCCTATGTATTCAGAGCCAAGCAAGCATAGCCCTTACGCTGCCAGCAGCAGGCTATACCTAGACAGATTACTGAGAGGCCTTTCCCTTCTCTGCCCTCCAATACACACAGTCCAGCCCATCTTCGCAAAGACACAGTATAAGCAGCTGCTATCTATTTTCCGATTGATCTTCATAAGTTGTTCAGTCATTGTGGTAGACATTGTTCTGGTGCCTCATCCAGTCCCCGGTTACTGAACCAGTGTCCCTTCTCCAGCTGACTGCTCACAGCTCACAGATGCCACCTTCTCTGAAGAATTGTCCTCAGGTGTGTATAGCCACTTCACCCAGAATATTATGCCTAGCTCATAACCCCCAGTAGTCTACACTCAACTCCCAATGACTGACTGATAGCGGTTACAGAAGGCCAGCCCCTTAATAAAAGAAAAGAACTCTGTCTAATGTCTATGCTCTGTAACCCTCTCCCTGTGATAATGGCTAATACTAGACTTGACCTGAGTTCACATCCTTGATTGGCTCTTTTCTAAGCCCTATCCTATTTCATTCCCTTTGAAAATTTTCCTGAGGAATAATCTATTAGGAAATAATCTGCACCCTAATACAAGTCACAAGTTCTCTTCAAGGAAATAGGGAAACTGAGTGATAAAAATATTTCCCTCTGCTCCATTATATAGCAACAGCCCTACCTGTTGATGATAATCAAGTCAGTGAAAACCTCACAGACACTAAAGTTGCAGGCATAGGAAACACAAATCCCCTGGGATGGTTAATTTTAATGTGTCAACTTGACTGGGCCAGAGGGTGGCCAGATATTTGGTTGAACATTACTCTGGGTGTGTCTGTGGGGTGTTTTGGGATAAGATTAACTTTTTTTTTTTTTAGTTTGAAAGTATTTATTTTCAAATTGTAATGTCAATTTTACCAGTACTAAAAATGAGAGAGATTGCATAAGTAATGTAGTCAATTTTGTTGAGGTGACAATATTAATATATATACTTTTATTCATCTGATAAAAGCTGTCACTCACATATTCTATAGAGTTTCATTTTAATTAAGGATTTCCTTCTTTGACATTAATGCTATTATCAGAACAGGAAATTAGAAAGTATGTCAAAAGCAATACAAGCTTTTACTCTGTGGCAACTGGCTCTGTTGTGCAGGTAATACTTACATTCCACATTTATTCTTACGCTAGGAAAAATATTCCAATGTTTTTTGTGAGAAACCAATGAGGAAGGGGCTTAAGGCTATATAAAAATCTGATTTATTATAACAGCAATTTTAAGTGACTAACAGAGTACGTGGCCTCTAAGTGGTACTCAAAAATATTGACTTTCAAAAATAAACTTAACATAATTCATTTAATCATTTTCTTGTTTCCCCTAGCATAATGTATACTTTTGTTGCTGTTGGTTTTTTTTTCTTTTTTTTTTTGAGACCGCATTTAATTCTGTTGCCCAGGCTGGAGGGCAGTGGCATGCTCAAGCTCACTGAAGCCTTGCTCTCCCAGGCTCAAGTAATCCTCCCACCTCAGCCTCCTAAGTAGCTGAGACTACAGGTCTGCGCCACCATTTCTGGATTATTTTGTTCTATTTCTTTTCATAGAGGCAAGGTCTCCTATGTTGTCCA